ATATATATATATATATATATATATAATATATATATATATATATATATATATATATAATATATATATATATATATATATATATATATATATATATATATATATATATTATATATATATATATATATATATATATATATATATATATATATATATATATATATATATATATATATATATATATATATATATATATATATATATATATATATATATATATATATGTATGAATTGCTAACTTGAAAATAGGACAATAAGTATTTTTTTCAGAAACTAAAAAACTTTACATTTGGCAAAGAAATGATGTTTCCTAAAAAATTATGATTTTTTGTAATATATTGTACAGTGTGTAAATTAAATACTAAAATATAAGTTTAGTCTAAACATGCGCTTATAGAAATACTTTATATTAATTTAATAATCTTTATTTTGAAAAAAATGTGTAATGTACCATTTTTCATATAAGCGATTTAATAATATATAGTAAGAGAGAGAAAAAGTTTAGCATTTAATCATAACTCTTCTTACGTTATTACCTTTTGGTGTTGTATACTTAAAAAAGAATTTGTTGTGATTATTGAGCTGAACATTCCTGTCAATCCAGAAATAAGTATGATTCCTATAAGCATCCATAGAACTGAAAAAAATCGACCTAACATTGATTTAGGTACAATATCACCATATCTGAATAGAAAGAAATAAATATTTAACATATATACATCAACAGGTAGCTAATATCAACAAGTTTTAGTTTAAATGTTTACCAGACAAATATTGACTATTGTTTGAGTTGCGTTACTAAATGCAAGAGCTATCTGTCAAATCAACAAATATAGCTATTTTTATTGGCGTAATAGTAAATATAAATAGCAACAAAAAACAGCAGAAAAATATTATTGCTGAAAAATAATAGCTGAATAACTAAATATCCTCTTTATCATTTTATGACAGTAATATTACTGGTAAACGCGTCGAATTATATCATAGAGATCATTGACATGTTTGAGGGGGATATATATATATATTTTTTTTTTTTGTTTTTTTTTTTTCAGTTTTAATGCTAGAAAAACCTTTCTTTTAAATTAAAGATTAATAATGTATCTAAACATTCTAGTGTTTTTAAGTTCCGTTTATAATTTATTATTTTAATGCATAAAAACAAAATAAAAACTCATTTTTTAAATAAAAGTAATTTATTAAATAATACTTTGGCAAATTTTTGTATAAATGTGCAAACACAAATACATAAAAAATACATATAATGGTAACATAGTATGTAAGTTGTTAGGAAATCAAAACACAAATAAAAACAATGTGTATTTATGCAATCTCAACTATTAGTAAATATTGTAAATACTCCACTATAATTATAACTACCATTTCATTTCATCATAATTATAATTACCAAAACAAGATCTTTTACTATGTTGTTAATACATTTTATATCTCAGTTTTTAAGTGATGGTAAAATTAGAAATCGAATTTTGGGTGTGTTTGTTTATCGAACTTAGTTTCAATTCTTGGTTGTTTACAATGTAAACGAAGTACAAGTATTAAGCTAAGTGAAAGTTTTAAATATAAACTTGAAAATAAAATAACCTTACCAATTGGAGAATTCATTTTGGAAATCAAAAAGTTTGTTAAGTCACCAGGATTCAAAATAAACTACAGAATGGTATACTAAATGCGTAAATGTATTCAGAGCTTTGCTGGTAATTATCAATTAAATGAGCCTATGAATTTACTACTACTATTTACATCAAATAACAATAACAATATTTTTTGTAGGTAAAAAGTGTTTTTTACAACTAAAACTACGATTGGAGTTTTTATGAATTAAAAGAGTTATCTGAAATTTCACCACTAAATAATTTTTTTGATGGGCCTTATATGTGTTTTTCATGTCGTAGCATCTGCCGAAGACAAGGGTAATTAAGGCTAAATAGTACTATTAGTTAAATTTCTACGGACACAGACAAAGTGTTGGATGCAGTTCCGTTTAGTCGGTATTGTTAAAAATTCAAAACATGTACAAAATAACAGACTTTTGATAGACATATAGTTTATTAATATAAAGTTATTGATAATGTTAATGTTGTATAATTTTCAATTTTTAATTCTTTTGAATTAATTTAGTTAAGCTTAGTATTGAAAACTTCTAAAGAAATTTTTATTTAAAAAAATATCTTTTTATAGCTCTTTTTAAAAAATGGTTAAATTTTTGCTTATTTTTTTTGTTTCACTTTTTTTTAAGTTGAACAGAATATGGAAATTTGATAATTCTGTAACTATTATAGCTTTTAAGCTGAAATTTTTATACTGCATATAAAATAGATTGCTTCATCCAATAAATCAAAATTTTGAATAATATTTTTAAATTGTAATAATCAGTTTGTTTTAAGGTCATTTTTATATTTAAAAAGTATAAAAGATAAAAAGTTGGTTTTTTAAAAACGCAAACAAACAAAATCCCTTAAGCAATATTTTTTTTTTTTTTTTAGTTTACTACATACATTTAGTGTTACTAAATAATGTAACCCTTTTAATTGTTTTTTAAAAAAACCTATAAAATTTTTGTTGACTTTAAGATAAGACAACATATATTTTATAAGGATAAATTATAAGAATTTGATGTTAATATTATAGCAGCGACAGCTCAAGCGCTACATGATTGGGTTGTTCACACAATCATCTAGCTATACAATCCACTAACGTAGCAAAGAGCTTCTTAATCGAAAATGCTGATCAAAATCAATAAATTTCTATAAAATGGAGATTAAAAATAACAATATGCAAGAAAAAAATAAAATTCTCAAAAATGAATTGAGGAAGTTTATAAAAGCTACCAACTTTGTGAGCAAAAAACATAAAGCAACTCTTACCGAACCAAATAAACTGAAAAAATAAAAATATCAAGTGTTCAAAAAAGATAATACAAGGTATAGAGATAAAAAAGTTGATATTAAAATTAAGCTTGTCGAATTTGTAGGTTAAAGCTGTAGAAGTTATCTACGGCAGCGGTTTCTAACCTGCGAGTTAAGAGGTTGCCTAAAAACTTATCAGTGATCGCTATTAAACCCTCAGAAAATAACTTTTTTTTTTACGCTAGCCATTGTTTTTTTTTTTATCATATTAAATTTAGACGGTATACATACTCTAAATGCAGGGTTTTTTTGGTTAGACTAAAGTGACATAGATTACTCTGATACATCGAGCGATCGAAACCCCTCCAAGAATTTCTGATACGGCGAGAATGAACCCAGCACTTTTCGTTGATGTTGTTTTGTGTTTTACAACTCTTACATTTTTGTAGCAATAATTGATTCTAATAAGTTTTTAATTTAGCTTTACATGCTCATTGAATTTTATAAGGTTAAGCCTCAAGTTTAAAGTTAATAGCTTCTGTTGTGTGTTTCCTAATTTTATAATGTACATTGCACAATGCACAATTAAAATTTAGTAAAATTTAAATATTATAGGTTTTCATTGTACACTGTGCATTATACAACTAAGAGTCTAACACAATCGAAGATTTAAAGTTTAAGATAAAATGTCTACAATACAAACATTTTAATTCATTTGCATTTATTACGCAAAACATATGAAAAGCTTTTTTGTTGATAAATTCTTATAAATCAAATATAAAAATGTTTGCAGCAACTTTTTGGCAAGCTCAAGACATTTTGTAGATCAATACAAACTATGGTTGTGAAAGGGGAGTTTAACTTTCGACCCTTATCTCTCTCAATTTTTGTTTCATTCTTTGATGCAATATGCTTGTTATACTTTTGGATTTGCTCTTCATTTGCATCTTCAATAACTTGAAATTTGTAGCATGTACCACACAGATCCTTTTTCGGCTTTTGAAATTCAATATTAAATTTTGTTATAAAAAACATTGCGGTACACACATGCCTTTGCTGGTGAAACTTCATATTGAGTGCAATATGTTAAAAACAAATTATAAAGTTTCTTCAAATTTAATGACCCATCAAAGTTTTGTTTGCAGGAAATGCTTTGACAATAATGTGACTCAACTCGTGGAAATAATTTGATATGGTTTTCTATACTCTGTTTAGTCGTTTCAAGAACATTTTTTTACAATGTTTCCCCCATTTTGTTGGGGCAGGAACACCAGTTTCAAGTTTATTTTCATGATAGTATGATATTTGCCTGCTGCTGATGTCTAATGTAGACAAATAAAACTCCTTACATACACAATCCTTGATATTATCAACAAGGAAATTGTAAAATTAAGTGTATTTTCTCCTTGAATTGCTTACTTTATTGGTTCGAGATCTTTTTTTATCTAATCGTTCAGTAGTTGTACTAAAAAAGTGTTGCTTTTCAATCTGAGACATTCCCCACAGTCCATTAAATAATATTTTTCTCTCGTCTTCTGAAATCTTCTCAAAACACTTAAACTTGCAACAATTTTTACAATCTTTTTTATTTTCAATACTACTTGGTTGAATAACTTTGCCTCTAACATTTATATATTCCTTTCCTGATTGTCTAAGTCGCATTCTTTTTGATTGTTTCCAGTTATAACAGTTTGCTTTACGTTTTCTTGTTTTCCCACCATGTGGAGGTAATCGGAGTTGATCAGAAATTAAAGGATGCGTTGAAACATAGGGTGTTACCATGAAATTAGCTTGTTGTGGGTAATCTGAAAATAAAAATTAAACATAAAAAAGGTTATGCAATGTAAAATAATATTATGTTTGAAGATATATTATTTTAAGAAGAGATAAATTTTTTCCATATATGAAACGATTCATTTGAGTATTTATTCAATTAGTATATAAAACGTGTTGTATATACTAAATAAACAAAGACGTACGGAATACGTGAGGATATTTAATATACTGTTGCATATGTCACATACACATACAATATATACATACATAAATAAAAAATATACACACATATAGTATATGTGTATCACGGATTATATAACCGATTCTGTTGTATATTTGACATATACAATAGTGTATATATATAACCATATATATTATATGATATATATACACTGTATGTCACATATAAAACAGAATCCGTCAGCTTTTAATTAGATGATGATACATTTCTTACAAAAATTATATGTAGAATAATGAATAATAACTAAAAAAACCCGATTAACACTAGAATATATAAGAAAATACCTATATTTTTGTTTATTACTCTAAGATATACAATATTTTCATCCGCCATTTTAAAATTAAATTAAAGGAAATAAACACGAACTGATTACGTAATGTGAATTATACGCAACTTTATTGGTTGTTGGAAATATAACAAAATAACATTAAAATCTGTTGATATTTTGCAAATAGAACAATCGGATACACCTGATTTGACACTATTAAAAAAAAAAATATTTCAAAAGTAATACAGCTAAAAAGAAAAATTAACAATAAAAAAGAAATTGCTATTAACTCATTTTTCTCAAATTTGGAGATAGAACAAAATAATTCTAACCTGACGATATGGCTGATGAGTGCCGAAAACGGCATGAAACTTTAAGTACCGTAAAATAGTTGTTTTTTCTCATCTAACCTTTTATTTATATATATATATATATATATATATATATATATATATATATATATATATATATATATATATATATATATATATATATATATATATATATATATATATATATATATATATATATACTCTTGCATGTTAGTTGAAAAGAGTTTCCCATAAACTGTAGTTTTAAAGAGCGCGTTAATAAACCAGACCAGAAAAAGTTTAAAAACTTAAATTTTTTTTTTTTTTCAAATGATAGACTGCCTGCCCAAATTAAACCCTCAGTCGATGTAGCAGTACTCCCTTGCGAGTCAGGCTATTTGTTAGTCGTTGTAGCAGCACTCCCTTGCGAGTCAGGCTATTTGTCAGTCGATGTAGCAGCACTCCGTTGCGAGTCAGGCTATTTGTCAGTCGATGTAGCAGCACTCTGTTGCGAGACAGGCTATTTGTCCGTCGATGTAGCAGCACTCCGTTGCGAGTCAGGCTATAAGATAGTCGATGTAGCAACATTTACGCATGTTTTAAAAATGTTTTTTAATAAAATAAAAACAAAAACATCACTAATAAAAAAAAACTTTCTAGTCGTTATAATTGCGGTTTTTTAAAAAATTTTTAAAAAACAATAAAATCTAATGTACTTCCGAATTAAATTAATTGCTTTGACATTTCGACGACAATCAAATACAGCTTAAGAGACGACGTAATTAAAATTGTCGACTACAATTTCAATTACGTCGTCTCTTAAGCTGTATTTGATTGTCGTCGAAATGAGACTTTTTTTACATTAAAACGCTCTTTCGACTACACTATATGGATATATATATATATATATATATATATATATATATATATATATATATATATATATATATATATATATATATATATATATATATATATATATATATATATATAATATATATATATATATATATATATATATAATAATGTATATATATATATATATATATATATATATATATATATATATATATATATATATATATATATATATATATATATATATATATGTATATATATATATATATATATATATATATATATATATATATTTATATATATCTATATATATAACCCGTTAAAAGTAAAACAGAAACAAAAAAAACTCGATGCAATAGTTTCTTTTGATTAAATATCGAAACATAGGTTTCTAAAAAGAAGTTGTGACGTAATCTTCGTCATCCTGATTCAAACCGCCGTCTGAATTTGCACATTCATGGCATTGTATTTTAAATGTCTCCCTCACTTTTTTGTTAAAAATTTTTAACCTTTACTTTTAGATTTAAAATAAAGAACTACCTCCATGGCAGAAGACTTCTTAATGTCAATCTTGATGACCAACGCTCTTTATTTCCACCAACTTCTGGTGAACCTAATGGTTGTATCCTTGGGCCTGTTTCGTTTCTTATCTGCATTAATGATTTTTCTTACAACCTTACATCTAAAGTAACTCTTTTTGTTGATGATTCACCTTTATACTCCTGTCTTAACAAAAAATCTTCTTTTTTCAATCGCTTAGAACAGGCAGTCTATCTTGAATCTTATCTCACTTCTGTAATATATTAGGGCTCGCAATTGTTTGTAAAATTTAACTCCAAAAAAACTCAGTTATTAACTGCAAACAGTTATCGCCCTTATGTCAACATTCCTATATAAATAAATGACAATCCTCTCACTAAGGCTTCTGTTTTACGTCGTCTTGGATTATTGTTTACCACTGACCTTTCAGAGAAACTGTGTACACAATTGATAGCTAAATTAGTATCCGCTAAAGTTGCTTCTCTTTATAATGTTTGTCATTTTCTTACTCTTTTTTACATTCTCTACCTCTGCAAACCTTTTACTTGTTCCTGTATAGAATAGTGTTGTCATATTTGGGCTGGTTCTTCTAATGATGCACTTTCTTATCTAGACAAGGAGTGCAAAAACATTGTAAACATAGTTGTAACCGTTCTATCTGCTAAGCTTAAACATTACCCATTGTCGTAAAGTTGTACCTTTTTTTCTTTTTTACAAATACTATCATGAACGCCGCTCAAAGAGCTATCATCTTTATTTCCATCAACTTAAAATCGTTTGAGTCGTCGTTCAGTTAGCCTCATTCTTTTGCACTATCTGTCCCTGCATGCTCTAAAAACCTTTAATTGTTTAGTTTTTTTCTTCGCACTCTATCTTTTTAGGACTCTCTTTTATATTCGTGTTTTTCCAAATCACACAGCTCTCAACTTTACGTATTTACGTCGTCTATCAACCGTTTCCTTACTCTTAAACTCTAATCTTTTTTTCTAAAAAATTCCCAACTTAAACCCTTAATCGTCACCTTATTTTAGAGCGCGATGCCTCCAGCGTCAGGATATTTTTTAAAAATTGCAAGTATTAGATAAAGTAAACAAAAATAGTCACAAATGTTCGTAAGTTACATTTAAAGTATAAATAAATACATAATAAACAAAATGAACGTTACGATAAAATAAAATTAATATTTCAATACAGTATGGTATTTTTGTATTAAAAGCAACGTGCAACACATAGTCCAACATTACATTTTGCACACAAGTAACGTGGTTCTTTTCGTTTGGTTTGTTATAACAAACTACACATCTTCTTGAAGCATTAGCTTAGTGAGTTGTAGCTGGTATACTTAGATAATGATTAGACTCTGTAAGTTGAAAAGGATTTCCTTCAAGTAATGGACGTTCACCATTTTTTAACGCGTTTCTTCTCTGTCGAGTACGATGTCATCATTTGATCAGAGCAATCTACACCGCCCATGAGCTGATTATATTAATTTATAACAGTTATTTTTTTTTCTGGAATTCCACGTCTAACTACAGTTTTTTCAGTGTCTGGTATACATGTGCTCATCATAAATATATCTGTTTTGCCTTTCCAATGTGAAAGAGCAATCCCTAATGTGTTTTCATAATCTGCTACTCTTTCTCCACGCTTTAATTTAACTTTCGTAACTGATGTTGGTAAACTTTTACGATCTCTCTGAATAGTACTATTTAGGTCAGTAGAATATTGCTTGAGAATTTTGTATATTTTTATTGAGGTGTACCAATTATCTATATGAATACAACGGTCTAAATCTAACAAACCATCAAGAAGAGAAAGTATGGTTTTAGATGCATGATAATCTTTATTGTGACTGTCTATTATGTGTCTGTTCCTGTATAAAAAATTACACTTTATATATATCCAGTAGCTGCGTCACACAAAACAAATTATTTGTGTTCAAAATGTGATCTTTTCCACAAGAGCAGAGATTCATCATTCAAAGTATCACGGCCAAAGTTTAGAAGCAGCTTGAAGCGTTTAATGAGACTAACTAGTACTGTAGAATTATTGAAATCCTTCCCTAAATCCTGATTATCAACAAAGTGGAAATACTTTTCAATAAGTAAGATTTTTTTTTGAGACATTAGACGTCTAAATCCAGGTGTTGCAAGTAGTCAATTTTTAGAATAATACCAGTCATGTCTAGGTTTGTGTAATAAGCCACGATATATTAGTACAGTTAGGTACATTTGAATGTCAGAAGATGTTGTGTCTTTCCATTTAGAAAGACGGTATATTCCATTTAGAAAGACGGTATGTTTTAGAATGTACTTTACCTCTATTGTTTTAATCTACATATTTATTTATCATTTTTACTATCTTATCTACAAGTTTATTAGTGAATAACAGCTTAAAAATATCCTTTTTTTTTTTTTTTTTTTGTATGTATTTAGGTGCTCCCAGAAGTCCTTACGGTCTTATCATAGAGCGCCGCGGGAGAGCCTTTAACAAGAAGTTCACGCCTCCTTCCGTACCAATGTCGGTTGTTGGGCTAGAGCTGGCGTCGAACCTGGGACCTCTGGGTTCTGAGCCAGAACTCTAACCACTGCGCCACGGCTGCAGTGGTTAGAGTGGTCATCAAGTGGTCATCTGATGAAACAGACTCATTGACGCCTGACTTTCCTAAAAAGATTTGTCTACGCATACCTGGTACAGGTTTACCTTTTTTCCAACATAAATTATCAATAACTTCTGTTGTTTTTTTTTACTCATTCGTTGTCTTTTACAAGTTGAAACAACAAAAGATACATACGTCAACGCCGTTTTTCGAAAGTTGTGTCTTGCGTATATATACGTCATTTACGGTTAAAGGGTTAATAGTGGTTGCTTGCAGCCCTGCTCGGAGTAAATCAGAATAAAAAAAATTATTTTAATAAAAAACTTGTTCTAAATTTCATTATTATATTTAATACTTAAATAAATTTAAAACTCTTGTTTTGCAAACGAATTATTTTAGCAGATTTAAATAAACATTACCATTTTTCTATAATCATTATTAGTTAGTGATAGCAAACATTATTAGAAAAAGAAAAATTTGTATAGTTTGAAATACACTCTTTTTTTTGTTAGTTAGGCGATTTTACGGTATATGAAAACTACGGTATATAAAAACTGAGGTATATGAAGACTATTGACACAAAACTTATGATATTGTGTATCACTTAACTCTTTTTTTTTTTGTTAAAACTATCCATACTTGTAAGTATTTTTTTTTAACGTTTAACAAAATGTTTAAACATTTTTCTAAAGTAATAAACCAATTTTAAGTAACCGCAGTCAAAATTTTCAATGTTATACTGTTTATTATGAAATAAATAAAGTACTTTTATTAAATAAAACGTAAAATGCTAAATTTAATTTTAGAATATTGCATTCTATTTATTCTATTACTCTTTGGTAATATTATGAATGCCTAATATTTAGTAACATAAAAATTTGATTTCCAATGCACATTATGAGAGCATAAAAGTTACTTATAAATATATGTAATTGTAATATATATATAATGTTACCTAAAAATATATGTTACCTAAACTTATATATATATAATTATATATTACATATTATTGTATAATAAATTATATATTAATATTAATAAAACTTATTATATTATATTAATATTAATAAATACTTGTAAATATATTCTTATAAAATTAAAAAAAATGTTCTTCATACCCAACTGTTGCTAAGGTAACAACTGACCACCACAAGCTTGTGCCAAATCCTTTTATGAAGCATTTACTGAAATCATTGTTTTTTAAGGATTCCTATAAATAGTTTTTTCTCATAATAAATAGGTCAACCAAAAAACGCTAATGCATATTTTTTTTTAGTAAAACTTATTGCAAGTTAGTTTTTTCATTACATATAAAATAAGAGTTTTAAACCTGCTTTATATTATTATGTATATTTCAATGTTGACATTAAAAATATACTAAAAAAAGTATAAATATGCAAATATATGCGCCTAATTAAGTGCATATATTTGCATATTTGTTCTTATTTAAAAAAAATATAACATAAGTTTCTAATTATTGAGATATTTTTCGGCCATATTTAACAAATTTAGTAAAGAGGTAGGGAAGAGTGGGTAAAATTGCGACACGTAAACTTTTTTTAGGGTAATTGCAATATTTTTTTTCTTTGATGTATACACTTAACCAAAAAAGTTTTTACAAATAATAATTTTTTAAAGGCACCGATTTAACCCTCTTAGGTTTTCATCCAGTTATAACTAAGTATATAAGTTTTTGTTTTTAGAGAAACCGTGCCATTAGGGTAAATTGGACAAGTGTTAGTAGAAGTGGGACAAATAAACTTAAAACAACATTTTATGACAAATTATGAAATACAAACTGATAAAATCATAAAATCAGCTAATCGACATAAAAATGTTCGAGAGTATTAACCAATCGAAATAATAAAATAACGACAGTAAGAAATGAGGCACAGATATTTCTTTTTTCTGTCCCACTTTACCTCAATGTAAACACTTTTTTAAAGTACATTTCAAAATTAGACCTTCTATCGCAAGCAGGTAAACAAAGCAATTTCTGCCTAATAGTGGAGAAGAAATTTATTTGTTTACAATTAATAACAGTATTAAGGCGCCATTCCAAACTGGGTCATTCCATGCCAAGTGGAGCAAAGTTACTTCATTTACAATATCAGATTTTATTGAAACATTTTGATTTTGTACATATATGATTTTGAACATATATGAGATATGATTTTGTACATATACATTGATTTTGTCATTATATTGTTTGAATTATATATTGCTATTTAAAACGCTATTTAAGTAGTTGGCTATTTTGCATGAAATTTCACTATACAAGAAAAAAGGGTTTTTTAATCATTTTTAACAGCTAATAACTTTTGAACAAGTTGGTTTTATACTTCAGTTATTTTAAAATAGCAAGTATGCTATGGATACTTTAAAAAAAAACTAAATATTTAACTTCTGGCATCTTAAATTTTGCCATAATGGCAGGCTAAAATTGATATTTTTGTTTTAAGATTAAAATTTTTTGAGATTTTAAAGAATCTTAAAAACTAGTTCAAAAATAAATACAAATCAAATTGCCTGTTGATCTTCATGTGGTGGATGAATATTAAAAAAAATCAAATTGCCTGTTGATCTTCATGTGGTGGATGAATATTAAAAAAAATCAAATTGCCTGTTGATATTCATGTGGTGGATGAATATTAAAAAAAATCAAATTGCCTGTTGATCTTCATGTGGTGGATGAATATTTAAAAAAATCAGCTGATTAAAGAGCTGCATTTAAAACTGATCTTCAAAATGAGTCAGATAAAGATTGTGTAAAAATCGATCTCCGATGCAAAGCATGTGTTACCTAAAATGGCACTTTTTTTTTTTTCATAAAATTTTTTTATGTGCATCTATCAAAGAGTGTTAATTAATAAAATATAAAAAAATAAAATAGGCACTTATTTATTATTTCAAAAGATAGTCTCTAAAAGTCAGGTAAATTTTCAATGAAAAAAATCTGAATTTAACAAAGTAAATAAATGCATTGAATAAAATATTGTTATTTATTGTACAAAATATTATGCGAAATATTTTGACAATAAACAAAGTTAATAAAACTCATTAAAAATTAAATTCCTCAAAGAATAAAATAATCTCATCGATTGCTTTTAAGTCAATATTATAAAATCTTCCTCTGTTAAACTGGACCTTAAGAGATGTAATTTGCATAAAACATGCCACAGGGGTACCCAAGGTGATCATTCACCCAGGGGTGATCATTTCTGTATGACCACGTGAATTTGTAACATAAAGAAAACTTTTTCATAAAATTAATATGAAGAGCTTAATGCTCTTTTGAAATAATATATGAATATTTCCTAAATACCATTGAGAACAGAACAACAGAAGTCATCAGCCAACAAAACAGTGGGATATTTTTGAACTTGATTAAACTAATAAGCAATTATTATCTTTTAGTGGCTGAACACATTGCATCTGTAAAAGCAAAAAAACTACAACGTCCTTCTTTTCTCCTTGAATACAAATTGAGTTGATTGAGTTACTTGGGCAGAGAGTCAGATATGAAATATTGTCAAACATTAAAAAAGCTATATACTACTCTGTTTTGCTTGACTGTTCTCCATATTCCTCCCTTAAAGAGATATAAATGTCCTCAACAATAATGAAACCTGTGCATATTTTTAATGTCAGCAAAAAACCGAGAAAAAACTGAGAAAACTAATAAATTAGAGAAAGACAATCTAAAGATTTCTGATGCGAAGGTGATGACAATGGCAATGGCAATGGCCAATATGCCAGGAAATTAAGATGGCATTTAAGTTAACATCAATTCTCTTTGTGAGTCAGCAAGATTTGTTCCTTGTGCAGCTTACACTTTAAATTTTGTTGGGCAAACCTCAGCAGCATTGGCTGAGGTTTCCCCACTCATGATTACATTTTTTGGAAAAGTTCAAGCCATATTTAAATTTTTTTCAAGTTCTACGTAAAGATGGAAAGTATTAATGAAAACATAGACCATCTCATTAAAGAAAAACACTGAAACAAGGTGGTCTGCCAATATAGAAGCAATCACACCATTGTACAAACGAATAAAAGAAATTCTTCAAGTTTTGAAATCTATTATCCACAATTCCAATGTCACAATAATGTCACAATATGTATTACAAAAGATCTTATTATTCAAATTAATTTCAGGTTTTTGTTTTTGTTGGATTTTTGGTGTCAAATTTTTTTATTAAATGACCGGGAAAACAAATTGCCTCAGTATAAAAATGTTTCAACTGATATCGCAGTAAAAAAAAATTAAAGAAATGAAGGCTTCCATTCAGAACTTGAGAGATGTTGTTGTGGACAAAATTATTAAAGATGAAACAGCTAAACAGATTGGAATTTAAGGTATTTTTCCACTCAATAGGGAGCGAAAAGTAAAGAGGAGGTTACTTTATGAAACTGAAGACAACTTTCTCATCCTCACAGGAGAAACAGAATTCGGATCACAGTGTAAAGTGGTGTTTGACAGCATTATTACAGAAATTGAATGGCGGTTTGAGTCAATGTCATTTGTATTCTCCGATTTTAATTTCCTCTGTAGGCGTTCACTATTTAAAAGTTCAGTGGATGAACTTAAGAAAAAACCAAAAACTAATATCAGATTTACACAACAGATTTAGACTCCTCTGATTTTCAGGTAGAAGTGGCATGTTTTAAATATCAAGCTGCTGCAATATTAGACAACTTCGAAAATTCTAGCCCAATTAACAATTTGCAGCTCATTTATAAATGTTCATTGGCTGATGCACGGCAATTGCTATTCGCATCCTCCTCAACTTACCAGTCACAGTTGCTACGTGTGAAAGAAGTTTCAGTAAACTTAAGCTTATAAAAATTGAAAATAAAGTGGTCGACAACCTTGATTTTGATGACATCATTAGTAAATTGGTATCCAAATTTTTTTTTAAAAGAAGTAGGGGGGGGGGCACATTTTTTCCTTTTTACCCGAAGCGCAAAGTTGGCTCGATACCACCCTGAATGTAATAGTTACCTGAAAAACATGTTAGGTAGATGATTTATTTTTAGAAAACTGAGTTAAATGTGATGGGTGTCGTTTTTTTATTAAATTTGAACCTAAGAATAAGAATATGATGAAGAATAAGAAAGAATATGATGAAGAATAAGAATATGATGAGATTGAGTTGAAATAAATTGAGAATATTAACTTTACCAATTAACAATTTAGTGTGTGAGAAGCGATCTGTATTTCTAATTATTTTTAAAGCATGCTTTTGTTTGATAAGCCGTTTATTCAATTGAGCTACGTTAGTGATCAGCCAGGCAACGATTGCATAATTTAGGTAGCAAAAAAAAGAAAAAGAAATATATTTCAAACAGGTTTGGTTTAACAGCTGCTTAGCATTGTATAGAAGCCTAATGTTTTTTGAAATTTTATTTTAGATTATATTTATGTGCTCCCTCCATGTCACATTTTCATCAAAAATAACACCTAACAATAACAATAAACTCTTTCCTATGGTACAAGAGTTATTAACCAAGAAATTAGAAAGTTTTAATTTTTTCTGTTATTAACAAAGAAATTAGAAAGTAATGATTTTTTTCTTTTATGAAGACGATGGAAGAGAGAATATATATATATATATATATATATATATATATATATATATATATATATATATATATATATATATATATATATATATATATATATATATATATATATATATATATATATATATATATATATATATATATATATATATATATATATATATATATATATATATATATATATATATATATATATATATATATATATATATATATATATATATATATATATATATAATCCGTTTTTTCATCATTAAATGTAGATTTGATGTACTATTTCCTGTTTCTTAAATAACTTCTAAACCAAACTAAGTTAGAAATAATTCCATAATTTTTAAGTTTATATAGGAAAATATTATGATCTATGGCATTAAAAACTTTACTAAGATCAAAAAAAAGCCTAAGATAAATTTTTTTCATCAAAGACCTTAACTATTTTATATACTAGATGAATTACCATATTAAAACAAAAGTGTTTGTTGCAAAAAAAAATTATTGGTAATTAAAAAGAACAAAGTTTATTATACATACCAAGTGAAAACTGAAACTGTAATTTGAAACATCAGAAGGATCACCTATTTATAAAATTGGTGTAACTTTTGCAATTTTTAAGGTTTCAGGAAAATTCCCATGTTTTATAGATAAGCAAAAAATTTGTAAATGTGATACTCTTGAATAATTTATTGATTTAAAAATATCCGTTAACATATTAATATTTAAATGTATATGAATTGCTACATTCAATCAAAATTTTTATCAAGCACATCTCAAAGGACAACTTTCAGATTTTCATTCAAGAAATAGCTAAGTACTTTTGACAAACAAGTCAAGACAGAGGCAATTGAAAGTTCTGTTTAAACAGACTCTAGTCGCATTTAAACAGATCGTAGAACGACAAGAGTTTATTCTAATCACAAGTTCAGGAAGAGTACAGTTTGTTGCAACCTCATTACGGAAAATTTGCGGCCAATGCCCAGGAAATTTAGATAAATAGACATCCACTACTTGTGCATAATGTTTAACACCTATCTGCCAAAAACATAGAATATTCTTGTGCTCACCTTTGAATTAAATTTGTCCTTTTAAACGCTAGTCTCGTCTGCTTAGCACAAGGTGGAGGGAATAAAAGTGTAAAGGTTGTTAGCTTTACACTTTTATTCCCACTTTTATTGAGGGAGTGAAGGGGTCTTTATTAACGGACAGGTTTTGACAGATTGAGATTTACGGGATTTTGTAAAGGTCAACGATTTTTAAATTCTGATTACATTTAAAGTTTTTATTCTTATCAGTAACTGATATTTACATTTTCTGATTTCTCTTTATTAGGAGATTTTTTTTTAATTATTTCTATAACAAATAAAAATTATTAAACAAGGACGGTGAGAAGATCTTAATAAGCTTGTTGTGAAAAATTTCGAAAATTAATAATCGTCTTCTTATGTGTATGAATCACCTAAGAGTAATAGATTTTATTTAAAATTTGTCGAATAATGTAAAGATTTTTTAATATTGAAAAAAAACTTTCTTATCAAATTGTTACTCTTGCGTTTGGCTCAGTAGGTCAAAAGTATGTTATGAGGCTCTAATAATTGCAAATTTTAGCAATTCATTTCTATTTGACATAAATATAAAAGTTAAATATAATAACCCGGAAAAAGCTGATGTTGTATTCTTTAGCTGCTAGTTTATTAAGTGTATGAGGTATATATTTATTTTAAAACAATCCTTAAAAATTCTTCTTGAAAAGCAAATAGTAAGAACGCAGGCCTTTTATGGTCTACAAGATCCACACAAGTAAAAATGCAGCAAATATGATAGTAACCATCCTAAAACTAGCTGTGGAAATAAAGGAGGAGCTTTAGTATGGTAACTACATACTTTACCTAAAGGAGGAGCTTTAGTATGGTAACTACATACTTTACCTAAAGGAGGAGCTTTAGTATGGTAACTACATACTTTACCTAGTGATAATTGATAAGTTTTGGCACTCCAAAGTCGAAAATGTTTTTCATGCATTTAAAAAACTGTTATCTAAAACCCTCAAAAGTAGTATTGACAAACATGGAATCAGAAGAGATTTTCTCAGGATAAGCAATCAATACAAGCTATGAGAAAAAACAGTTAAAGTTGGAAAAGAAATTTAAACATCGTGGAAACAAAAACAAGCTCTATGACCATAAAAAAATTTAAAACGATAAACAAAAAAATATATATCTTATAAGGCGATATAAATTTTACCTACATAATAATAATGCCTTTTGATAATCGTCCACATGCTAGCTAACTACAAAGACATCTTGTTGCGGAGATCTTATCTAAATATAATGATTTCCGCCAAATTTAGGTGGATGAAGCAGAGTAGTAGTATGCTAAATAGAAACTTCCTTTAAAAGGAAATAATTATATTCTTCATAGAAGGCTTAGCCAAATTTCAATTTGTTAAGCAATTTTATTTTATGTGAGGAATATTTATACTGGGTAAATTATTTTAGAAATTATTAGAATTCTGTTATGAAAAGTTATCAAAAAACAAGTTATAAAAAAAGAAACTTCAATGTTTGTCCTCGAGCTTAATCACAATTCATCTTCAAGCTGCAGAACTTGAATATTGTCAAGCATCAGAGCAAGAAAATCTTCAAGCAACAGAGATGGAACTCAGTCAACCTTTAACATGTAACCATTGAAAGTAATTATTTTTTTATAAAAATCTGTGAAGTTTTACTTGATTTTGCCCCCTGCTCTTTAGTAACATAGTTTTCAATATAATAATTATCATAATTATCATAAAATTTTTATCTTTTCAAGATTACACTTTTTAAGAAAACTACTGCGAAAGTAATGCGTAAATTTTTTTTTCTAAATTTATTAGTTAAAATTTTTAAATTTATTAGTTAAAATTTTTAAATTTATTAGTTAAAATTTTTAAATTTATTTGTTAAAATTTTTAAATTTATTTGTTGAAGTTTTTAAATTTATTTGATAAAATTTTTAAATTTATTTGTTAAAATTTTTAAATTTATTTGTTAAAATTTTTAAGTTTATTTGTTAAAATTTTTAAATTTATTTGTTAAAATTTTTAAATTTATTTGTTAAAATCTTCAAATTTATTTGTCAAAGTTTCTATATAGTATTTACACTCTCTATTTAAAATTAAGGAGATGTCAAGTTATATACACTAAATAAAAAAATCTATTTATTCGTCTTTTAAACATTAAAGTAACCATTTATTTATTTATTTGTAAAAATTTCTAAATTTTAACGAAAAAATTTAGAATTTTTAAATTCAAACTTTGACTTTAAAATTTGATAAATATAGTTTTAAACAAATATGAACCAATTTGCCCAATCTTAGCTAAAATTTATGTTTTTGAATAACGAAAAAATTTCATTTTGAAATAATATTTTTTTATGTATTACTAACGAAATCATTTACACTTTTATAAAGAGAAATTTTTTGAAAGAAAAAATTAAATTTATTTTAAACTAAATGTTGTTATTGTTAATGTTATTATTATTAATATTGTTGTTTTATTTTATTATAGTAAAGTAGTGTTCTTTTAATCTTTTTTAATGGAAAGTATTATAATTAAGTATTGTTGTTTTAACATCTTTTTACTGGAAAATAGCAACTAAAGAAACGATTACTTACCACTAACCATACGAGTAACGAGAAAAGCAAAATAAATCCAATAGCATGTGATGCAATTGGAACGCTTTTTTTAATAGCTTCAAAAATTTTACGCGATACCGTAATTTTGTTTTTATTAACAATAACTCCGATCTTTGGCGAATACATAAAAATATCTCTCTTTAGATTTCTACGTTTCAATTTATTTTCATCTAATGAAACTAATAGGGGAAACCATATTCCATTTTTTCCTGTATAATTTTGGAGTTCACTACTAACGTTATTTTCTTTTTCTAAACTTTTATAAAAATTATTTTGATCAAACGTTTTGTTAATTAAATGATATTGTACTAAGTCTATTGAAGGACAACACAGCTCTTGTAAACGTTTGTACATAAACGGTAATATACCGTCTAAGTTGCTGTTACTTGTATAAAAAATAAAAGGTTTAATTGGCCAGTAAAATACTTGATCGGGTACCATCATTTGTCCAGGCACAATATATACAAAAGTCAAGCAAAGTGCAAGCATTATAAACATTCAACAGCTTTTGAGATTTTTAAAGTAATTGAATTTTTGATTACTTGTGCTTTCTGTATCAAATGTGTTATTTTTCACATAACGTTAAATGTTTCTTGATTATCTGTGAAATGAAAACCATTTTTCTCTTGTGGAAAAATTTAAGATAAATTGAACTAAAATAACAATTTAAAATAAAATTACTCATTTATAATAAAAAAAAGGAATGTAAATTTAGAAAATTTTTGATTTTAAATATTTATTTTTAATGCATACTTTATTGACTTCAATATAAAACGTCAATACTCTTTCATAAAATATAGTTTAATGTTTAAAAATTTATAAAGAAATTGAAATTTTTAACTTTGCAATAAAAGTTTAAATATATGGATCAAAATAATATGCAATTGTTTAAAATGCAAAATATATGCTAGCACTAACCATTTTCCTCTTTATTAATTCACGCCTTCGCCATTTCCAGTCTTTATTATATAAATTATTCAAAATCAAGATTTTGAAGGCTTTTAATAACCGCAATGATATGCAATAAAATATGTATTAGGCGAAGTCTAATTCTAGGTTTATCTGCTTATTCATATGGTTGAGTAATGAAGAAAAATCCATGGTGATATAAATGTTGAAATTTTTAGTTAATGTTTTAGTCTATTAATTGTAAATAGTTTTTGTAATACAGTTACAATAATTTTGATAAAAAACTGAGAAAATACGTCAAATTATGTCAATAGAAAGAGTCTGACGTTGATGTAGGCAAAACATATTTCAGACTTATTATTATAAAATTATCTCAAAACATGTATATTATTTTATCTGATATATTTTATGTCGACAGAGAAATTTAATGTTGACAGAAATTTTCATTAATTTATCTGATATATTTTATGTCGACAGAGAAATTCAACGTCGACAGAAAAATTCAAACATAAATTTATGTCAAAATATGTCATTAAAAATTGTGTCGAACATAAAATATAACGACAGAAAAGATCTTTCGATGTATGTCACAGATCTGCCATACAAATTGTGTCGTAACAATACTGATTCTAATTAAGAAAGCAACTTTACTTCTTATAGACTGATTGAGCAAAAGTGATTCCAACAAATATTCCACTACACCTATTATATCAGAAGCAAGGCAACTTCTTTGTTTACAACGTTGTTAGGTCTTGTTGAACAGTGAGATTTATGAATAAAAGTATTCTTGTCCTATCGGTCTTGTCTTATAGGTCCGATCCAAACAATTAAATGCGATAGAGGCGTTCTGATTTACGTTAAGGAACGCTTCGCACATAACATTCGAAATGATAAATGCGTTTCTGACGGTGATAAAGAAATCGTAACTATTGAAATTTTAAACAATAAAAAAGTATTATTCTATTAAGCTGCTGTTATAGACCACCTGATGGTGCGTCTGAAAATATTAGTTTCTTTTTACAGCAAAATATCATTCACAAAGGTAGCAAAGAAAACAAAAATACTTTTATAATTGGAGATTTCAACATGAACTGTTTAATTTATAATAAAGATAAAAAAGTAAAAAGTTTTTATGATAAAATATTTATGGCAGGAGCTCTTCCTTTAATTAATCTCCCTACTAGAATAACCAAAATTTCAACTACGTTGATTGATAATATTTTTACAACAGATATTTATAATAGGAAATTAGAAAAAGGAATTATAAAAACCGATATATGCGATCATTTTCCCATTTTTCTAACAATCCATACTGTCAGGGCCGGCGCGAGTAGGTGTCACGTGGGTAGGGGGTGCCATTACATTTTGCACCCCCTATTGCGTCAGCCTTCCATTATGTATCCTATCATAAACCCGAAAGATAAAGTATAATAAAAAAACGTGTCTTCAATTAGAGCAATATAAAATCCTTCCAATATCAATTATCACTTCTGCATTGGAAACATACTAACTTAAATGAAGATGGAAATATAATATATAATAAATTCTTTGATACGTTCCTCTCAATATACGATGCAAACTTTCCACTTTGTGAAAAAATAACAAAAATAAAAACCTTGAATAGTCCATGGATTACCAAAGGACTTAGAAAATCCTCTAAAATCAAATAGAAACTATATGTAAAATATTTAAAAACAAAATCAAATGAAAATCAACAAAAATTTAAAAATTACCAACATTTATTGGAAAAAATACGTAAAAAATTAAAAAAACATTCTTAGCTAAATTTGATTAGTAAATTCAAAAACGACTCAAAAATTACTTGGCGAACGTTGAAAGAAATAAAAGGAAAACAAAAAGCAAATTTAAACTCCCTTCCTAAAGTAATTAAAATAAATAAAACAAATATATTTGAATCAAACGAAATTGCAAACGAGTAAAATAAATATTTTATTGATATAAGAACCAAATCGGCAAACAAGATCCTTATTACGGAAAAAAATTTTAGTGATTTCCTAGAGCCTATAAAAACTTCGCTTTTTATAGATATTTTACATTCTGACTTATCTTTTGATGAGTTTTAGAAAGTCTACGAATCTCTCAAAAGAAATATAGCTACGGGTGCGGACGAAATAAATGGCAACATAGTCATAGATTGCTTTCAAAACTTAAAATATATTTTTTATAAAGTCTTAAGGGCATCTATACAGCAAGGTGTATTCCCTGACCAGTTAAAAATAGCTCAAGTAACTCTTACATATAAAAACGGAAAAAAAATCAATTATTACTAATTATCGGCCTATCTCAGTTCTTTCAACTTTCTCAAAAATTTTAGAAAAAACTATACATAATAGAACATACAATTACCTTAATCTAAATAAACTTCTATATAAAAATCAATTCGGTTTTAAAAAAAACTTTTTAACTGAACAAGCCATTACACAGTTCATTCGTGAAATCTACAATTCATTTGGTAGATCACAATATTCATTAGGCATTTTCATTGACCTATCAAAAGCATTCGACACTGTCGATCACAAAATTTTACTTAAAAAACTCAAATTTTACGGAATTAATGGCAAATTAATAAAATTGTATAAAAATTACTTGAAAAATAGAAAATAACTTGTTTTCCATGGAGATTATTTTTAAAATGAAAAACTAATTGATATAAAATGTGGTGTTACACAGGGTTCTATTCTAGGCCCAATTTTGTTTTTAGTCTATATAAATGATTTAAATAAAGCTTCTAACCTTATGAGTATCATTTTTGCGGACGATACTAAATTATTTCTGTCAAACAGTGACATTTATGAGCTTTTTTCAAATATGAATAAAGAACTCAATCACATCTCCAACTGGTTTAAGTGCAACAAGTTAACTTTAACATTGACAAAACAAAACGGATCCTTTTCCACTCTCTTGCAAAAAAGCGTTTTTTACTAAATAAGTTACCTAAACTTTTTATTGATAAAATTGAAATAAAATAGGAGTCATTCACAAGATTTTTCAGGTATTTATATTGATGAAAATATTATATGAAAGTATCATATCGACTTTATTTCTACTAAATTGGCTTAAAGTATTGGAATTCTATATAAGGTCAGATATTATCTAAGAAAACAAAATTTAATTCAGCTCTACTACTAATTTATTAATAGCTATATAAATTATGCAAATATTGTTTGGGGAAGTACCTCTAAAAGTAAGTTACGAAATCTCTACCATCGTCAAAAACATGCAATGCGTTTAATATGTTTTGAAAATCGTTTTTCTTATTCAAATATTTTATTTAAAAACGATAAAGCACTTAACGTTTACGAACTTAATGTCTATAATATATTATGTTTTATGTTTCGTTGTAAAAGTGAACAACCATTGTCCAATTTCAAAGATCTTTTCACTTAGAAAGCTATATACAAATATGCTTTACGACATAATAATTTATTAATTGAAGCCTTTTGTCAAGCAAAGGTTAATCATTTTTGCATAAACTATTGAGCACCGTATTTATGGAACAAAGTTGTTGTTCCAAAATTTGATTTGTCAATTTCGTTTTCCGTTTTTAAAACTAACTTAAAAAACCATATTCTTTTTACTGGCAATATATATATATATAAATTTTTTTTGAAATGTAAAATTCTTTTCTTTACTCTTGATAATTAGTAAAAATAGTTTCAATCAGTTTTTCTTTCTTCTACATTGTTATTAGTTAGTAGATCAATTATATTTTTATTTTATTATATATGCACGTATGATATATTTATATGGTTCTGGCGACAAGATCATTTGGATCTTCTTTCAGATACCATGTTTATATATTGTTATATTGTTATATTACAATTAATAATTGTAAACTAAAAAAAGAAAATTTATTTGAGCTCACTTATTTTTAGTTATTTAGGAGAAACTTATTTTCGTCCATGCATTTATCAATTCCAATTTTTTGTTAAATAAACATTCTTGAATGCATGTGTAACTATTTCAAACTTTTTTTGTAGACATGGTATGCCTTTTTTGTTAATATTGTTATATGCAGGTGCTGTTTTAAGCATAGATTAATTCAGTATAAAATTATCAACATTTTTTCTTTCAATTCTCATATTTATATATATATATATATATATATATATATATATATATATATATATATATATATATATATATATATATATATATATATATATATATATATATATATATATATATATATATATATATATATATATATATATATATATATATATATATATATATATATATATATATATATATATATGTATGTATATATATATATATATATATATATATATATATATATATATATATATATATATATATATATATATATATATATATATATATATATATATATATATATATATATATATATATATATAAATATACTAGGTTGGTTGAAAAGTTCGCGGAGCGGAAATGAAAAAACAATTTTATGATTCAAAAAATGACTTTATTCTTTAGTATATTCTCCCTTAAGAGCAATACACTTTTTCCAACGATTCTCCAATTCATGTATCCCATTTCTGAAGTGCGATTCCGGAAGGCCTTCAAAATACCCATTTACGGCTGCAATGACTTCTTCATGTGATGAGAAACGCTTTCCACGTAGAAATTTTTTGAGATGTGGAAAGAGGTGGAAGTCGGACGGAGCCAGATCTGGTGAATAGGGTGGATGTTTCAAGCGTTCGTACTTTAATTCGACCAATTTCGCCTTTGCAACATCGCTGATATGAGCAGGTGCGTTGTCCTGGTGATAAATGATTTTTTTATGCAGCAAACCAGGTCTTTTCTCACGAATTTTTTTATCCAACTGGTCCAAAAGATTTTTATAATATTCACCTGTTATCGTTTTACCGGTTTGAAGGTAATCTATTAATAAAATTCCTTTCGCATCCCAAAAAACTGATGCCATAACCTTCTTTGACGATTTTGACACCTTCACTTGCTTCGGAGCTGAACAACCGGGTTCTGTCCACTCTGCAGTTTGTTGTCGCAGCTTCGGATCATAGTGGTAAACCCAAGTCTCATCCATAGTTACGAATCGACGCACAAAATCTGTTTTATTATTTTGAAAACGGGCCAAATGTTCTTGAGAAAGTTTTACTCGAGTGCGTTTCTGATCCAGAGTTAGCGAATGCGGCACCCATCTTGCCAACAGCTTTCTCAGACGTAATTCATCGTGCAAGATGTGTAATACCCGTTCATCTGATGCCCACAGCCTCAGCAATTTCACGTTTGGTCAATCGTCTATCATCCATAACCATGTCATGCACAGCATTAATCGTTTCTTCAGTAGTAGCACTTTTTGGACGTCCAGAGCGAGGGTCATCTTCAAGGCTTGAACGCCCACGTTGAAACTCCGCAGCCCATTTGCATACTGTTGTTTTTGAAGGAGCATCATCACCCAACACATTTACCATTTCATTATGAATTTCCATGGGCTTTAAACCTTTTTTCACAAAGAATTTTATTACAGCACGATGTTCAATATTTTCCATTTTAAAATATACTATGACACGTCTAATTTCAATAGCTTGTAAACAAAGACTGAAATGACATATCGACTTGAAATTTTTTATGCGTTCATACGAAGAATGAATACGTTTAATACAGTTATAAATTTGTTTCTACTACTGCAACATAGGTGCCGCTCCGCGAACTTTTTAACCAACCTAGTATATATATATATATATTGACAGCATGGTGACTTTTAAATACTTTTTATTTTCAAAGGGTTGCTTTTGATTGTCAAAAATTGTTTTTTGTTCACCTTCTCTTAAGCCAATATATTATTTATCAGATACATTCTCAGATGAAACATCACGTTTACATATCACGTTTTTTGATAGACAATTTCCACTCATTGGACAATCCCACTAGGCACCGTATTATTTCTTTTATTTTCATTCAAAAAAGTTGCTTTTTTAAGATTCTAAACAAATGAACATTATGGTAATGATAAAATTCTTTAAATGTTATAATGCTTCAAAGTGCTACAGTTTAAATCTATGTGTAGGCTATAACGTTACCCTACATCAACATTAAAAAAAGTAATTTTAGGTAAAAAACCCAGCAACCCAATATCCAAAACAGATAGATCTGAATCCAGGTCTTCTTAAAATGTTATGGGTACCAGGGTATGTAGGTCCGGATTTTGGTTTCAACTATGCCCTAAGGAAAGTATAAAATATTTGACAATACAAAAAGATTGAATAAAAGAGAAGCTTTTTTAAATGATAAAAACGTTCTTATTTGAGAAAGAGCAAACCGTTTATTATTTGCTTTTTCACACAGAATTAAAATATGTTTATCAAACTTTAAGTTAAGTTATAGTACACCATGAAATACCATGAATAGTATAAAATGAAATAATAAAAAGTGTTTTTGTCAGCAAGGTTGCAGATTGCCAAGTCTTGAATAAGAAAGAAAAAGTTATTTATTCAAATTTTTAAGAAAATTAGTTCCAATATTGAACGTTGAGGCACACCAGATTCTATATCTAAGATATTTGTAAATGAAGAACCTAATTTTTTCCTCTTTTTGCAAGCAGAAAGATACAATAAAAAAGTTTTGAGACTTCTTAGAAAAGCCATAACCTACCAATTTGAAAGTAAGCGAATCATAAGGAATTAAATCTTTTTTTTTTGAGAAATCCATAATTATTGAACCAACGACCACTTTTTTATTCAAACATTCTTGCCACTTTTAATGTAAATTTAAATGCGCATGCAGTGCTTCTCCGAAATCTATACAACAGTTTTTAATAGCTTGTGCGTACTTAAAGCCACATAATAATTCGTTAAGACTTGGCTTAATAAACACTGGTATTTCTTAATAAACAACCATTTCAAAGACTTTTAAGAGAACTGGAAGAACACTTATACGAAGTTAGTTAGACCGGAAAAGGAAGATAATTTACATCACTATTTATAAGACGTTGCAATATTTGTGATACACAAGTTGAAAATGTATGACAGCTGAAAGTTATCTAATATGGTTTCCCGAATGTCAATTAATGTTATACGCTCTTTTGAATTTTTAAATTTATTTGAGAGAAATAGCTTCCATATCTTTAAGAGAAATGTGAAGGAAGACTTTAATAAATTTGCACTATCAAAATACATTTTCTTTGCTTTTTTTATTTAAGTTCACTACATAGCTCTATTTTTTCCTGTACAGAGACAAAGAAATATCTATTTTTTCATTTAACAACTTTTTTTTTAATTTTGAGCTGAGCATAATCCACAGTGGAACAGAGTGACCACCAGGGTAAGTTGTTCCCGAGGTCTGATTTTTTTTTTCTATTATCTAAATATACATTAATAAGCTCTATTTATGGTATTTAGAACTTCTGGAGAAATGGACACTGTAAAAAAATTGTTTTTTAAAAATTAAGTTTTTTAAATCCTAATTATTTTTATAAATTATTTGACAAAAACCGCTGAAAATCCGCATAATTGATAAATTGTAAACACCTACGCGCTATATATATATATATAAAACTCGGCAATGATGACAATATTTTTTGTAACAAAGTTAAAGGAATAATAATAAAGTAAATAACATTTTATCAGGTCAGCATCATCACGTAAAATATGTGCATTAGAATTTTCAATAAATTTTAATTATTCAATTATATACACAATCCCAATATTTTGAGATTTATACAAATTGTTATTTTTTATTTTTTATTTTGTTATCTAAACAAGATTTATTTATTTATTTATTTGTTACATAAACTATGTATATGTATTTTTTTAAAACAACGGAACATGCAAATTAACAAGCAAAGTAACATAATGGATATAGATATTATTCAATCATTAAAGATATCAACATTTTTAAAAAACATCCAATTAGAAAGGATTCGTTCGCCGTTTCAAAAGCTGATGAAAATAGTTCCAATGATTCTCTACTTTCTAATTCATTAAAAAGTGAATAACTATTTATCTTTTACATTCAAATTTTAATTAGTTAATTAATGATTAGGATTATTCATAAGAAAAAGTCTCCAATTTAGGGTGAGGTAAGAGCCTCTATAAGAAAATACTTTTTTACGGGACGAATGGTTGGATAGTGATGCAGGTAATGGATAAATAAAAAATAATTTTAACCATTAAAAATCATTACTTCAGTACTATCAAATAGTTTAACAAATTCATTTTTTAGATAGTACTATACAAAATAATATGTTTTTACTTTTACTATTAAACATTTTGTCTTTTTTAATTAGTTGATGGCGAGTCATTAAAAACATATAACAATAAAGGAGGTCAATCAAAAAATCCTGCGAAATATTTATATCGAGTAATGCAACATTCAAGCGGAAAATAATTATCTCATACTGTGACTTGAAAATAAAAATAAATAGGACTTAGAAAACTGTGAAAATATTAATTAAATAAATTTTAACGAACGAATTTGAAAGATTATTTTCGAGAAATTAAAAACAAAAAAAAGGTTATAATGTTTTTACAAGGTTTTGATATTTAAAATTTTTTTAATTTAAAAATTCGTCAGGGTTGAGATGTTATATTGTATAAGAAAAATTTATTTCAATACATAAATTTATATTGTACTGGAGATAATGTCATTAATACATAAATTTAGTGTTAATGGTTAGTGCATATATATTTACATATACATATATATACATATACATATATATATATATATATATATATATATATATATATATATATATATATATATATATATATATATATATATATATATATATATATATACATATAAATATATATATATATATATATATATATATATATATATATATATATATATATATATATATATATATATATATATATATATATATATATATATATATATATATATATATATGTATATATATATATATATATATATATATATATATATATATATATATATGTATATATATATATATATAAATATATATATATATATATATATTTATATATATATATTATATATATATATATATATATATATATATAAATTTATATATATATGTATATACATATATATATATATATACATATATATATATATATACATATTTATATATATATATATATATATAAATATATATATATATATATATATATATATATATATATATAAAAAATATATATCATTATATACATATACATACATATATGTATATATATATATATATATTATATATATATATATATATATATATATATATTTATAACATACATATATATATATATATATATACATATATATATATATATATATATATATATATATATATATATATATATATATATATATATATATATATATATATATATATATATTTTATTTAACATTAAAACAACAGAGCAGATCCGATCTTTTGTCTTGTTTATACTTTTAAAAATAGTTGAGCATTTTATTTTGGTTTCAAACAAATTTGATGGTCCTGTTTCAAACAACCTAGACAATCGTTTTTATGGATTGCATTTAATAAAAATATATGCTCTTTGATTATTAACAACTCTCTAAGTAAGTCGTTTTTGTTGGCCAAAAAGGTATCAGCATTTATATTACAATTCGAAAACTTTTTTAAAGAAACATCGGCATTTTTACCAATCTCGGTTTTTTTGAGAACTTTTCTGTGGTTTTGGAGTCCATACATCTTGTAAATGAAATGAATAACATCTTTAATAATAAGAACACTAATTAATGTTAAAACAACTATTCCAGGATTTTTTATGTAACTTTCGTTCCAAATATCTGAAAAGTTTTGTTGGACTTCAGTGTCAATCTAAAAAAAAAAGAAAACTTTTTTGGACTTCAGTTTCAATCAAAAAAAAAAAGTATTTGAATAGTATTTCTTTTATTATTTTTTTTCAAAACAAAACAAATTTTGTAATACTTTAAAAGTTACTGGGTGATTCTTATAAAAATAAATATGTAATAGTAGCAAAAACTTCAAAAAGCAGCAACAACAATAACAGAAGCAACAATAATGACATCGGTAACAACAACAGGTGCAACTACAATAACTTCAATAACAACAGCAACAAAAACAAAAACAACAGCAACAATATAAACTACAATAACAACAGCAATAACAAGAAAAACAATATTAACAGCAACAGCAATAACAAAAGCAGCAATAATAGCAATAACAGTAAAAACAACAGCAATAATAACATCAGCAATAAAATTATCAACAGCAAAATCAACAACAACATTATTAGAAACAACAATAACAACAACAACATCAACAACAACATTAGCTATAACAATTAAAAATGCAGCAATATTTACAACAGCAACAATAATAACTAACCCTAAACCTGACCCTGATGATTTTAATTAAGCTTCCGACCTTATAAGTATCATGTAGATGATACCAAACTTGTAAAAATCTCGATGAAAACATCTCCTGGAATCAACACATTAATTATGTTACTGCTAAAACTTCAAAAAACATTGGGATTCTACATAAAGCTCCTAACTACCTAAATAAAAGTTGTTTAAGCCAACTTTATTACTCTTTTAACCGCAGTTACATAAATTATGCTAACACGGCTTGGGAAGTACTGTTAAAAGTAAATTAAAACTTCTTTATCGTCGACAAAAACATGTGATCCACAAAATTAACTATGCTAATCTTTTTACACATACTAAACCTATTTTTACTGAAATAAGATTATTAAATTTATATGAACTCAATGTATTTAAAGTTTTATGTTTTGTATATTTATGGAGAAATAATTTATCCCATATCGCTTTTAAAAATATTTTGCCGACCTCGTTTTTATGTTGCCATGGTAAAACCAGTATTTTAAAAAGTTTGTGCAGACCAAAAAATAGTTTAAGATTGACAAAAGATTTGACAACAATTTTTCTAATTCTGAGGACTGGATTGAAAAAACAACTTTTAATTGATTTTCACAAAGTTTTATTACAAAATGCAGTTATAGTTAGAGACAAAATATTCTGTTTCTATAGGTCACTAATAATGAAAAAAAAAAAAAATGCCACAAATAATATAAAATTAAATGTCTTACTATCGGGATTTTTCCATATATCTCTTGGATATTTTTCAGTATTTCTTTTATATTTAGTTTTCTTATGCAGTTCAAAACATCATCATTTTGTAACAAGGTGGATGGATATGCAAAAGACATAAGATAAGTTTCAATACCAAAAACTATTACTATAGGCGACAAAGCATCTAATAATTGTACAAGAACAACATTAGAGTAATCTTTTTTATATTCCATGTTTAACAAAACATCAATGTTAATAACTCCATAGTCGACTTTATTATCGTTTACATCACTGAATACATCGTTGTAGGTGTAATAAACTAAATATAAAAAATATTATTTACAGTAAATTCATAGTCTATACAATAACTACTATTTTCAATAAAAATATATATTATTAAATACATAAATTTTATATGTAAACAGTAGAGTCTTGAAAAACAAAAAAACTTTTAAAAATTATAAAGATTTCCTTAACAAAAAAAATGCCTATCTAAAAATTATTTTTAACAATACTCAATTGTTATGCAGTTTTTTTAAAGCGTAAGCGTAACACACGCGACACGTTGATAACAAAAAAAACTTTTAATTTATTTAAAATTTTCTATAATAACTATTAAAAAAATTTAACATTGAAGCATATTTAACTGTTAATGCCAGTTATCTGGCATCAACAGGTTTTTAATTCAAAAATAGTAAAAACCTTGATCAAAAATTTTCTTTCATACACCGAAATAGCACATTAAATTAGAACATCATTATTTTTTCCTTATTTTTATTTGACTAAGTCTTTAGACACTAAAAAATAGTTTTGAAAAACTACATCTTAAAATTCAAAATTGTTTTTCCTTTGATCAAAAAAATTATAAGGAAAAAATTATTCTTATATAAAATTAGTGCAAGTTGCAACAATTCTTGAAATACATCAGATATAATTCATTACATTCTTAATCAAATCTCCATTACCTTTTACACTTTTTATATTAACATATAAACAAATTGAAAATTCGATATTTCAATATAATTTACATTCATATTATTCATCTTTTATAACTTTTAGTAGCTACACCTCTTCATTTACGATATGTACCAATACATTTTTAGCAATTTCTTTTGCTAGTAAATTATTTGGTAGAAATCGTACAATCAAATGCACTAACATAAACTTAAAAATTTTAAAAAAAAGTTTCAACTCATTTTTTAACTCAAAAAACAAGTTTGAACTCATTTGTATTGCTGTTAATTATTTATTTTTATTTTATTTTATTTCTTTTGTAATGAAATGCTTTAAATTAAGTTTCAAAACTATAAATATATTTTAATACGCTTTTACTTCTAACCTCTTCACTCAATCACTTTCATTTTTATTTTCAACCATTACCCTTCTTCACAAAGCTAAACTACTTTGATGTTATTTCTGTTAAATACTAAATCCTTCTTTTTATGCTTTAATCAATGTTGTTGTTATTTGCAACTATACTGATCATTACACTCATTATATAGGCTCTGGTGTCCCTGAACCTGCTGGCTCTAGTAAATAAAGTTTTTTTTTAATCTTTTAATGAAATAGTTAAACTTGTGGCTTATTTTCCTTTTACATTTAATGTATTGACTTGTGTCTTGTTTTTACTTTTTGACTTGTGTCTATTTTTTAATCCTTGACATGTGTCTTGTTTTCACTACGTGACTTATGTCTACGTAACTTTTGTCTTGTTTTTACTTCTTGGCTTGTGTCTTTTTTTACTTCTTGGCGTGTGTCATATTTACTTTTTGACTTGAGTTTTGTTTCTGAACTAGCTTGTGGTTAGTTTCTCCTTTAGGTGTTTCAGATCATGTTATATTATAATACTTGTACTTCTTCTTAGTTAGATTAAGTTTATTACGGAAATTTATCTTTTAACCTTAACACTTTTTTAATACTGACATAGAATCATTTCGCGATTTTATTTTTAATTATCATTGGACTGAAGTATTTTCTCTCTTAACTAAAAATCGTTGATCTTTTTTACTCTTCTTAAATCATGCAGAAGCTTTTCTTATTTATTTTAAGCCAAACCTCACTTTAACATGTGGTTTTCTTTTCTCAAGCAGATGCTATCTTGATTTTTTATTCTTTTTTTTCATATTTTCATAATTTTCTATATGAATATTTCTGAAAATTTTATTGATTTCAAGAAATTGATGCCAAAAAGTATAGCTAAACACTAAATCTAACACTAAGTTTAACACTCTTGCCATAGTAACACTTAGGTCAATTACTCTCAGAATACTAAAACTTTCACGTTAAAATCTTTAAGAATGCTATTAACAAATGCATTTCGGAAGTTATATCTGTTATATAGTTATATTTTTTTTTTACTTTTTTAATTTATTCATTTTACTCTGTTTATTAAGATGCTTTCAGAAGTCCTTACGATCTTATCACAGAGCAACGTGGAAGAATGTTTAACTAGGAGGTTTAGGCCTTCTTCCAATGTTGCAAAGTGGGTTGAAACCGGTATGGAACCTTAAACTTCTTGGTTCTAAGCCAGATCTGTTACCATTGCGCCACGGCTGCAGTTTATTCATAGGTCTAACCTTATTTTAGTTACATCTCCCAAAGGTAAGCAAAATCTATTTGAAAATAATCTTTGCTCTTATTCATCTAATAAAACTTGAATCCAACTACCAGACTTTTTGCTTCATTTTGAAAAAAAAATAATTAATACCATTTTAAATATCCAAATCAATTATACGTTGTTGTTAAAACACGTTGTTGTTAACTTATTCATAAACTAATTTAACTATCGTTAAACTAATTAAACATTACTGCTTAAGCATTACTGTAACATTTTTACAAAAAGTTTTTTTTCTTAAATTACAAACTTACAAAAGTCTTCTTCTGAACTCGCATTCTTACAAAAGTGTTCTTCTGAACTCACATTCTTACAAAAGTGTTCTTCTAAACTATTTTATTACTCTTTTAGCTATTGAAAAAGAGCTAAAATAAATTTTTGTTTTTTTGTTTGGAATTTTGTACACTTTCAAAAGTCTGGAGATTGGTTAGATCACTTTATTATTGTCAAATCAGTTTTTAACAACTGTTAGGAATGACATTAAATCCCTAATTAAAAATTAAATCCCTAATTAAAAAATCCCTAATTAAAAAATTTCTAATCTCTCCTGTTGAGTCTAAAAACCAATAAAGTATTTGATTCTCTCATTTTACTTGTTAACTTTTATACAAGCATATTATATGGTTTCTATTGCGCAATTTTAGATTCTGTAATATATAGGCTATTTGTTTTAATCAATTAAATGCATTTGATAAAACATGTCATGCTGGATTTTTTTCCATAAGCTCTTTTCATATGATCAGTATGGGAAAATTTTTGAAACTATTAAATTGTTTTGCTCTTACTGCAGTATTAAATCTTTATTATGGGAACACTTTCAAAGTTCTGGAGATTGGTTATTCTAATTCATTTCTAGTAAATTATGGAGCCTAATAGGCTTTTTCAATTTTGGTCTTGTGTTGTTTCACACTACTGGTCTTCCTGATCATTCCTGCTAACCATACTGGTCAAACTTCAACCCCGATAGCTTACTACTCTCATTTTATTTCTCACAATTTTCTTCAATTTTTTTTTCCTCTTAACTTAATTTGTGCTTGGTTGAAGCTTTGTTGCTAATGAATTTGTTTAAAAAAAATAATATTAATTTTGAACAGTACAAGTCATTTCAATTTATTAAAATTAGTAGTGTAGATACAAAAAATGACATATCTTTAACTACCTATAATATTTAATTCAATTCCAATGATACAAAGTTAAATAAGAATAAGGATCTCTGAAGTAACTCCAATATCTTACAAAGATGTTTTCTTAAGCACTAAAATTTTACCTGTTATGTGTAGAGCAAACATGTATTTCTACCAGTCTATGGATTCAAAACATTAAATTCAAATATTTTAGGCATTTTTAAAAATGAAATTTCCAAGTTAAACCAAAAAGATACAGTATCTTATGTTCACTGTTCAGAAAGAATTCCTCATCTCCTAATCTTTCAGCTCTGATAAATAAATAAAAATATGTAAGCATAACTTAACAGCCATAAATGTGCTCTTTAATTTCTGAAAAGCAAGTGTGTCATTTTTTCCTATAACAACTTCTTAAATTTTGTAATATATGCACTTTGTTTTATCAATTGTGTTGCATTCTTGTTTAAAAACATGCATCATAATGTTAAAATTTTATAACAAAGAAGAATAACTTTGTAGGGTCCATATATAATACATTTACGCAAATCAAATGTATCACGATGCTTTTTATTTACTCCTAATATTTTTTCCTATTAAAACTCATCAGTTTGAATAGAAAAAACCGAAGTAAGATGCGATGTTACAACCTATTATGGAATAAGTTTAACTTCTTTCAAATAACTTTGGTTGAGTGTTGCCAGATCTCTATTCCTATTTTAAAATTTTCTATTTTAATAAATAGATTGCTTTAATCTCACATTATTTCAGAAGCAGTTATGCTAAAAAAATTGAGTGAATCCGAGTCTCCTACTGTATATACAATTTCAGAACACACTCTCACTCCTAAGGTTTGTGCTGTCATCCACCACGTTACACAGTTCTTCCAACGCTACAACAGCTAATTGAGAATTTTTTCTGAGCAAGCAACTAAAGTACTTTATAATCTTATTGACAAAGTTACAAGAGACCAATTAACCACCCAGAGTGTATAAACAGGATCCAAACAGGCATTACAGACTTCAATATCAAAAAAAATGTTCAGGAATATCAAAAACCAGTTTTCAATTTGTTTTTTTTTCAAGAAAAAATATTTAAAACTAAAGCTTTGTCAGATATTAAGAAAATATATGTTTACCAGTAAATTAACTGGGTAAAAATTTTTTTTATATTTCCGGGATAAATAAAAATTGTTGAAACTAAACTTGTTAGTTTTCTTCAACTATATATTTAATTTGATTTTATGCGAAATTTGAAATGGATTTCCTTCCATGAACGGTGTAACCAGTTTTAGGGATTTATATCCCAGTATCCGCCAATGATAGTACAATCATACACCTAATGGATTTTTGTATGTCATGGCATCAAGCAATATTTCATATTTTCACAGCAGGAAGTTGTGTAAGCATAACACAAACAATTTTACTTAACATTTTATTATTCAAAAAACTAAAACCCAGTAATCTATATTTTTTTAAATAGATAAAAAAAAAATGAAGTTAAACCCAAAACTCAACAGAACAACATATTACAAAAAAATAGCACAAAAAACAACAACTTACAAACTAAATATATGTATATATATATATATATATATATATATATATATATATATATATATATATATATATATATATATATATATACATACATATATATATATATATGCATATATATATATTTATATACATATATATTTATATACAATTTTCATACCTCTTTTAGCAGTTACGTTAAAATTCTTTTGAGCAATCACTAACTCTATAGAATTGTTCAATACTGCTATCTATAATAGTATTTGTTATAAAATCATATATATATATATATATATATATATATATATATATATATATATATATATATATATATATATATATATATATATATATATCTGTCCTACAAATATTTTTTGCATTCAAATAAAACCCTTATGACAGATCACCTCTTCGTTTTGTATACTCAAAAAAGAGTTTGTCGTGATTATTGAGCTGAACATTCCTGTCAATCCAGAAACAAGTATTATTCCTGTTATCATCCATAATACTGAAAAAGCTCGGCCTAAAAATGATTTAGGTACAATATCACCATACCTGAATGAAAAAAGAATAAGAAATTTAATATGTATAATTTACTGAGTTAATTAACATCATTTAATAAAAATAAGGAAAAAAATTTTGAGTATTCTTTCCGTTGTCCGTACGTTAAGTCATTGGCTATACAGTTTAAGTAACTGATTTTAATACCTTGTCTTTCGTTGAGGTAAAGTATACAGTTACAGGTAAAGTATTAGATTGTTGCTATGTTGTCAATGATTAATATTTAAATACATAAAATAATGATATCGTAGATTAGATAAATTTTAATATAAGATTATTTTAAAATAAGGAGTAACCTAAATGATTGCACTCCAACAACAAAAAATGTTTTCTACCAGTAATATTACATATCTTGTCAGTTAATGGCAGGAACAAGTATTAGTATTGCATATAACTTTTTTATCATCAAACCAAAATAAATATACATTTTACAATAATATATCAACATTAAAGAATTTTACCTTTAAAATAAAGTATTTTACATTTTTTCTTATATTCTTGATAAATTAACAATATTAAAAATTTATAAACAATTAAAACTCAATAATAAAAAAATAATTATATAAATTTATTTGTATAAACTTATATAGTATAATAAACTTAAATACTGAAATAAACTTATATAAATACTTAAATAAACTTATATAAATACTTAAATAAACTTATATAAATACTGAAATAAACTTATATAAATACTTAAATAAACTTATATAAATACTGAAATAAACTTATATAAATACTGAAATAAACTTATATAAATACTTAAATAAACTTATATAAATACTTAAATAAACTTATATAAATACTGAAATAAACTTATATAAATACTGAAATAAACTTATATAAATACATAAATAAACTTATATAAATACTTAAATAAACTTATTTAAATACTGAAATAAACTTATATAATTACTTAAATAAACTTATATAAATACTTAAATAAACCTATATAATTACTTAAATAAACTTATATAAATACTTAAATAAACTTATATAAATACTTAAATAAACTTATATAAATACTTAAATAAACTTATATAAATACTTAAATAAACTTATATAAATACTTAAATAAACTTATATAAATACTTAAATAAACTTATATAAATACTTAAATAAACTTATATAAATACTTAAATAAACTTATATAAATAATTAAAGACTGTAAAAACATTTATAGTATAATCACAGCTCTTTCAATAGTTTTAATAATTTCATTTTTATGTCATACTTATATCTTGGTGTCAATTTTATTGCTTTGATTAAACACAATTTACATAAAAATGTAAATGTACACTTGTTTATAATAAAATAATTATGTTTAGATGTATAATTGTTAAGGGAAGGTTGTGTAAGATATTTGTTAAGGGAAAATTTCAATGCTAGGGGAAGGTTGTTAATTGTTAGGAGAGGTTGCATTGAAAGGGGATAGCTGCGTAAGACGAGCAGGTTTCTACGATGGTATAACCTCTTTTACAGGTAGACGAATAATTTTTTCGCAAATTATTTCGATTAAGTATATTCACGCAAGTTCAACGATGATATTTATTTTAATTTCTTGCTTGTATAGTTAATATCCTTTGATTATTTTACTGTTAAAAAAATTACTATCCCCCATCCCAGATTTAATTTTTTATTATTCAATACTTTGTTATTACATTATTTTTGATATCCTTGATAAATTAAGGATATTAAAAAATTTATAAACGATTAAAACTCAATAATAAAAAAATAAATATACAAATTTATGAACGTTGCTTTTAAAGTTGTTGCCGGATTTAAAAGATGATTTGAATTTTGATTTGAAGGTGAGTCATTATTGTTTTAAATTGCAAAGATGGATTTGTCAATGAAAAATACTGAGAAACTAATAATATCTAAGCTTGAAGATCTGAAGCAAAACATTTTAAAAGAAACTGAAAAGCTATTAAAAAAACAAGAAGAAACTTTTACAAAAATAATGGAATACACTAAAAAAATAATATCAGACAGACTAGATAAACTTGAAAAAGAACTGAATTTTAATAAATCCCGAGTTGAAATATTAGAAAAAGATACTAGCGACATTAAAGATTGTATTAACTTCCAAGAGGATAACATCAAGGAAATGTTTTTTCTACTAAATTTAAAGATCAAAGAAAAAATGAAAACTTTGGAAAAAAAAAATTTAGATTGAGAAAATAGATCTCGCCGCAATAATTTAAGAGTTGATAGTATTGCAGAACAACCGTCTGAAACGTGGGGTGTCTGTGCAAGAGCAGTTAAAATGATCTTTAAAAACCAGCTTGGAATTGCCGATGATATAGTGGTTGAGCGAGCCGAGAATAGGAAAAATTAAAGACAAGCTACCAAGAACTATTGTCCTTGAACTCAAAATTGTGATGATAAATGCAAAGTTTTAGCATCTGTGGAGAAAACTTAAAGGCACTGGAATTTTTATCGATGAAGATTATGCGAAAGAAATTCTGGAGTATTGCAAAAAATTGTGGGAAGAAGCAAAAAGGCATCGTAAAAAAGGCAAGTATGCAGTAATCAAATTTGACAAAGATATTGTTGAAGATATGCATAATTAAAATAACTTAGTCGCGGAAAGGAGATTCTAACTCTCACCGGAAGGGCTGAAATTAGCGATTTTAAGCATCAAGCTTTTAACTTTTTAAAAATGAAAACTTTTATAGATATAAATGTAAAAAAAGATCCTAACTATTCTCATGATTTAAATAATGATTGCTTTTACTATTATCTTTTATAATTATATTATCATTTACTATTATCCTATTATCCTATTAAAAATAGAAGAATCTCTTTTTAATTCCAACAACAGCGAACAAATTAAAATCCTTCATTTAAACATTAGAAGCCTAAGTCACAACATTGAAAAGCTGTTTTACTTATTACAAGAAACTAAAAATGCTTTTAATATTATTTGTTAAACTGAAACTTGGATAAAAACAAACGATTTAAGTGATAACTCAAGTTTTTATCTACCCCGTTTTAAGTTAATATCTCAAGAGAGACATACAAATAAACGAAGTGGCGGAGTTCTTATTAACGTGAAAGAAACCATTGCGCATTACGTTAGGAATGATTTAAGCGTTTCTGACGGCGATAAAGAAATTTTAGCTATTGAAATCTTAAACAATGAATCTAAAAATGTATTACAAAGCTGTTGTTATCGACTAACTGACGGACGGGTTGTTATCGACTAACTAATCGGAGAACGGTTTTTGAAGAAAATGTTATCAAAATATTTTGAAGAAAATGTTATCAAAAATTAAAAAAAAAAAAATTCTATTGGCGATCTAAATATGAGTTTTTTAAACTACAAGAATGACTGTAAAATTAAAAAAAATTATGATTTAATAATTGAAATAGGAGCAATTCCCCTAATTAATCGTCTAACTAGAGTATCAGCAAACTCAGCAACTTTCCTTGATAACATTATTACAACTGATATCTTCAATAACAATATAAAAATAGGAATATTGAAAACAGATATAAGTGATCAAATTCCAATATTTCTATCATTCAACTCAAATTTTAAAATTAAAACCAAAACTAATAATAAAATAAGTAAACGCATATATAATATAAACAATAATGAAAAATTTAAAAAACAATTATCACTGCTTCATTAGAAGCCTATAAATTTTAATGACGAAGCAAAAAAAATTTATGAAAATTTTTTTTAAACACTTTATTTTGCCTATGATGCCAATTTTCTTATTTGTGAAAAAAACAAGAAATCAAAAAAGCTTAAACGCTCCATGGATAACTAAAGGTTTTAAAAAATTGTTTAAGATCAAACAAAAGCTATATATAAATATATACTTAAAAATAAAAACATCTATAAACGAAAAATTAAACAAAGATTACAAATATCTATCTGAAAAAACTCGTAAAAACTTACTACTTAAAATTAATTGAAAACTTTAAGAACCACTCTAAACGTACTTGGAAAATATGAGAGAAATGGGAGAAAAACAAAAAACCTGCTTAGATTCTTTACCGCAAGTTTAATATCTGTGTGGAGTGGATAACAAAGATGTTTTCGAACAAAAATTAATAGCTCATGTGTTTAACAAATTCTTTATTGACATCGGTAAAAAACTAGCAAATAAAATTCCTAAATCCCAAGTTGTATTCAATAACATTTTAAAACCGATGGATGATTGCATTTGCTCCAATAATTTATCTTCTGAGCTATCATTTGAGGAGTTTCAAGTGTCGTTTAAATCTATTAAAAAAAAAGCTCCTGGAGCTAATGAAACAAATGAAACATAGCCTAAGAATGCTTTGAACATTTAAAAAATATTCTCTTCAAAGTTTTCAGAGCGACAATACAAAAAGTAATTTTCCTGAGGAATTAAAAATAGCTAAGGTAATCCCAATAAACAAAAAAAGAAACAGAACTATTGTATGTAAATACCGACCTATTTCTAATTTATCAACTTTTTTAAAAATCTTAGAAAAAATTATTTACAATAGCATATATACTTATTTTATGGAGAAACTTTTTTTTATAAAATTCAACTTGTTTTTAAAAAAAATACTCAGCATGCAATCATCCACTTCGTCCGTGAAATCTCTAACTCTTTCAAAAACTCACAATTCTTTTTAGGTATTTTTTTGGATTAATCAAAACCATTTGATACAGTAAATAGTGGCATTTGATTCATAAACTTCAATATTATGGAGTGCATGGTGTCATTTTGAAATAGTTATTTAACAAACCGAAAACAAGTTTCTTTTAACAATCTTTATCAAAAAAATGTTTTCGATATTTCATGTGGGGTTCCGCAAGGATTAATTTTAGGGCCACTTCTTTTTTTAATATTTATTAATGACTTGCATAAAGCTAATCTTTTTTATTAATGACTTGCATAAATCTAATCTTTTAAGTATTGTGTTTGTGGATGATATTAATTTATTTTTATCTGATAACAGTATTAATAAACTCTTCACTACTATAAATGAAGAATTCAAAATAA